GATTGTGAGGGTCTCTCAACCCATGCTCAGGTGTCAATAAACCCAACCAGGAGCCAGAGGGAAGTCCAAGTACTGTGGCCACTGGGTACAACATGTGGGCATGGAACACAGGAGTGGGGAAGTAATGCAGGAGGGGCAGACAGAAAACCCTGCACATAGCTTCTTCACCTGTGTCCTTGTGGTGGAGAATGGATGGTGCTTGGGCGACAGCAGCGTGTGGGCTCTGTGCAGGTTGGTCTGAGGGGTCAAGCAGAGCGGGGGTGTTTTAACTCCCTGGGGAGAAGCCAGGCATTTCTGTAGCAAATCTGGAGGAGAACTTAACTCCTGTGTTTTCATTTCCACTTGCTGTTTGTTATTTCCTACCCAATTATTATATTCACTGTTCAGTTAAGGACAGATTTTTCTCTAGACTATTTTGAAGTGCAATTGTAAGGCTTCAATCTTAAATAAATTTGGGGTATGTCAGCCGGATTAGGTTGCATTTCCATAGGACATCTGGGTGTTCATACACAGCATTTCACATGTTGTCACGGTGTGATGCTGTCCCAGAGGGCCCTTGCAGCAACGCCTTTCTACCTCTGCCTCATCTCCTCTTTCCTAGATCCATGGCTCTGAATTCTGGGGTTATGGCACATTCATATGGAGTGACATGTTGTGCAATGATTCAGAGATTTGTTACTTACCAATAATGAAGTTCAAATATGCAGATGATTCTGTTTTCTGGTAAAGTACAGTGGTTCTCTGTGAAGTAACACCATTTATCCTTACTGCTCAAGAGAAGGAAGGGGTGGGTGACATCCAACAGCAGAACATGCCTATCACCTTACTAGTGTGTGCCTGCACACAACTCTGCCAAGCTAGTGTGGCGGGGGAGACATTATGTCTAGTGGAGGCTGCCATCCATCAGAAGCCAAGGGCAGCAGGACAAGGGCAGTAGTCATGCAGGTCGTTGTTTCCTTCCGTCCTACACACAATAGTTCATGCCTCCATCTCATGCACTGCACTTTCACCACACCAGCACCTTCCTCTCCTCCCTGCCCCTGAATTTATGTGGCTTTCTAGGGGATATTTTGGGTCTCCCCACCACCTTCCCTCAACAGGTCCTTCGAGATGCAGTATGTGAGTGGTGGGAGAGAAGGTTCTGTCCACTAGATGTGCTCGATCTTTACCAACATGTTATAGGAGAAGCAAATGCATACAGAGGGTGACCCTGGGGAAATAAGGGAACCATTCACTCAGTGAATGAGGTAGATAGGCTGCAGAGGCAGACAGACAGGCTGCAGAGACAGACAGGCAGGCAGAGTGACCCTAGGTAAGGCAGTTGGGTAGGCTGCTTGAAGGAGGTGGTTTATCGTGGGCCTGGCATGCAGGTGTCAGGAATGGGAAAGGAGGGCTGCTGTGCATTGCACCCCTTGAGCATCAGCCCCGCTGTTTACTGCAGAGGCCATTGCCTTCCAGGCTTGCAGAACCATCTGAGGCCCTCGTGTAGGAGGGAGCTTGGTATAGCTGGGGATGGGAGGGAGGATAGAGACCAGAGGTTTAATTCAGGACACATCAAGTTTGAGATGCCTGTTAGAACAGAGCCCAAGTGCTGCTGCTGATAGGCTGCAGCAGGCTCAGAGAAATCCAGGCCTGAAATGTACACATGGGCTCCACGTGAACTCTGCAGCATCCCGATGAAGACAGAAGCAGGACAGGATGCCAAGAGAGTGAGCAGGGATGGAGAGGAAGTGAGATAGCGGCCATGGGCTTTAGGATAGCACAGAGGAAGACACCAGCCCACGAGGTCCTCGATCCTCTCCCTTCTCAATGCCCCTCTAGTCCCGTGTCACTGCCACGTCCACTTGCTCCAATTCTGTCCTTCCTCCTACCCCAGATCCTTGCTCCTGTTCTCATTGTGAGCTGCCTCTGGTCCCTGTGACCTAAGTGATTAGATCTTTGTTACTCTTGGCTGTCTCCTCCATGGTAGCCATCTGCTGAGTGATGAGGCTTTTGGAGCCCTGTGACAGACATACCCATGTGCCTTCTCCCTCTCTGTGATGGAGTCACGTGCTGATGTGGGTCTCTGCCTGGTCCTACAGGATGGGGAAGATGGCTTGGGAAGGATATTTAGCTCCCACCATCAGTCTAGAGGGAAAGCTTCTGGGAAATAAAGGAACCAGTGGGTACAAGTAAAAGTAAGAATCAGATGTGTCTATGTGACTTTGGTTAGCAGTGGTTATTATGGGCTTGCTATTAAAAGTATGTACGGTTTATTAAAATTGTGTTTATTCACATTGGTTATAAAAACAGTGCATGCTCAAAATGGGAAACCTAAAGAAAAAATGGATTACCCGTATTAATATTTTAAGTATTTTCCTTCCAGAATTTCTTTTGTGTGTCGCTGTACATATGTTCACATACACACTTAACATAGTTGAGACCATACAAGGTATAAATTATGTTGTGTTTTCTCACAGAATATTGTATTAGTATCATTTTGTGTTTTTAAAAAACCTTTGAAATGAATGTTCAGTGGCTACATGGTGTTTTGTCAACCCTGAGTCAAAGGGTTTGAATATTTTTAAGGTTTATATTACATATTGCTAAAATGCACTTCAGAGAAGTGCTAATTTATTCTTACAAGGGAGGTTCATGAATGTGTGTTCTGCCAGCATTTAGCATTGCCTTTTAAAATCCTTGCTAATGTGATAGGCGAAAGTACAGTTTTCTTTCTTTCTTCTTCTTTTTTTTTTTTTTTTTTTTTTTTTTTTGCCCAGGGATGACCTGGATTGAGATCCTTCTATCTACACCTCCCACATAACTAGGTTCACAGACATGTATCACCGCACCTGACAGTTGTTGAGATGGGGTCTCACTAACATTTTTTCCAGGCTGGCCTCAAACCAAATCCTAATCTTCACCTCCTGAGTAGCTAGAAATACAGGTATGAGTCACCACTCCTTGCTGAAAGTTCAATTCCTTCCTGTTTTTCACTTGTATGTCCTCAATTACTATTGATGCTGCATCTTTCTCATAGTCAAAGTATATATATATATATATATATATATATATACACATCTGTATAGTAAAAATTATTTTTATCCTTTGTCCATTTTGGGAGCATATATATATGATACTGGGGTTTGAACTCAAGGCTTTGCACTTGCTAGGCAGGTGCTCTACTGCTTGAGCTGCACCTCCAGCTTTGTTAAAGTATAATTTATAGATAATAAGTTCATTATTAAGTGTTTTGGCAATTGCATGCACTTGTGTAATGGCTACCACAGTTGAGTAAGAGGACACACTCTTCAAATGCGAGCATTCTGCACTTCTCCTCTGTAATCTGCCCTCCTCTCTACCAGCAACCAATCATCTGTCACTGTCACTGTCACTATGGTTTTGCCTTTTCTGGGCGTTCTCATGAATGGAACCGTCCAGCATGTAGCATTTTGTGCCTGACCATGTTGTGCATGTCACCATTCTGTTAATTCCATTGCTGAGCAGATTAGTGTCCACAGTACTGAGCACTGTCACTAGCTGATGGCATCCTGTTCGTCTTCAGTTTGAGGCCATTTTGGAAGATATGGCTACAAACGTTCACATCCAAGTCTTTTCACAGACCTATGTTTCCATTTCTCTTTGGCAAATGTCTAGTAGTAAAATTACTGGGCTGTATGGTGACTGTGTATATAAACTTCAACACTCCTAAAGTGTTTAACATAGAGACTATCATTTTGCAATCCTGCTAGCAACATGGGGCAACACTGGATGGTCTGCAATCTCAGCACACCTGGGGTGTGCAGGAAAATTTGCATTTTGGTGCTCTCTTCGTGTGATTACTGGTGATTCAAACCTTGTTTTATGAAGTATCTGTACACATCTTTTGCCCATTTTTATTGAGTTGTTTTCCTGCTATTGATTTGCAAGGTCTTTTATATAGCCTGGATTTGAGCTCTTTATTAGATATATGTTTTTCAAATATTTTCTCTTTGTGTAGCTTGTCTTTCCATTTTCCTAACTCTGTCTTTTGAAATACAAACATCTTTAATTTTGGGCTCCCACCTCATGGTCTTTTCCTAAAATCACTTCTCATCACAAGAACATGAGCAGCCTTGGCCTTGCAGGTCTGTCTTGTGTCACACAGCCTCAGGTTAGTGCTGCGAAAGCTAGTTTCACAAAGTAGTCAGGCCTGTGACTGACTACTTTTCGATGTGGATTGTGTCCCCAACCTCAGCCAGGGCCTATCACAGGCAGGACTTGAAATCTGTGCTAGTTTTCTATGGTTGCCATAACAAAATGCACATAAAATAGCACAAACTTATTATCTTAGTTTTGGTAAGTGAGATGCCCGACATAAGACTCACTGGCTAATGCCCAGGTGTGAGCTGGGCCCCTGGCAGCTCTTGGGGCAAGTTTCTTTCTTGCTTTTTCCAGCTTCTACAGTCCACTCGCATTCTTTGGCTTATAGCCCCTTCCAACATCTTCAGAGTGGCCAATGTCACGTCATTTTCTGGTTGAAGCCTTCCCTACTTTTAAGCCCTCACGGGATTAGGTTGGGCCCACCATGGTTACTGAAGATATTCTCCCATGTCAAGGTCCACCTTTAATCACACCTACAGAGTCCCCTTTGCTGTGCAAGGCAAGGGAGGTCTCCACAGATTTGAGGATTAGGATGTAGACATCTTGGGGCTATTATTCTGCTGAGGACAATGTCAAGTCTTCAAATAAAAGAGCTGGAAAACAATTATGCCAAGGATATTATAACTTTGTTTCTCCTTCAGTATTTGCTACCACTAACAGAAGACAGAGATGTGGGGATATGTAATCAGTTTGATTTTTTCCTTGCTTTTTAAAAAATCAATCTGTGGTACTATTTTACTAAATGATTTTGTTTGCCTTAGATTTGAAACTTCATATAAATTCATCTCTGCATTGTCCATTCAATATTAAGCATCTAGTTCTTGTGGTATTATAGAAAAGTGTGTAAAATAATATATTTTTGTTTTCTTTTAATCCAGATTTGGGCTTAAAACCACCACTAGGATCAATTGGAAACAGTTTTTGACAACATTTTATGAGTTTCAGGGGTTGGAAGTTAGTAATGCAGTTCCGCTGAAAAAAAGAGATAGGTATGTAAAAAAAACAAAAAACCTACATTGTAGTTACACAAATCACATGAGGAAAAGGCTAGGGAATATCTGAACCACTTTCTCTTCATTTATTGAATGATCAATTGGTCTCCATTGAGTAATTGCCAACTTTTACAGAGGGATGTACAGTCGATAAATTATTTCTGTACATTTTTCCTATTGAAAAGTGCCCTAAGCTGTAAAGTTGGTATCACTATTATTCCAATTTCTAGGTAAGAGAGGCAAACCTGTGAGAGCTCCTACCTCTGTCCTGTGCTCAGAGCTCAGTAGAGGAGCAAGGGAGTTTGAGGCCCCTGGTATGCACATCAGCTGCCTCCACTGCTTCCCAAGCTCTGAGCATGGTCCTGTGAGATTGTGAACACACATGTATTTGCCATGTGTTGTATGGTGCATGGGCATCCATATTTATGCCATTTCTAATGACTATTATAACCCTAACTTCCAATGTCATGTAAGTTATGGGGACCCCAAATATAAAAAGGGTACTTAACAGGAAGGAATTTTAGAATTTAGACGTTTGCTGCAAGAAGTCTTGTATACAATGATGTGCATTCTGTATCAATTGTCCTACATGAATCTTAAATAAAAAACTAGGCTTTATAATCTCTGAATGTATGTTGAAAGCTCTATTGTGAAGTAAAAAAAGTATACCACTGAGTTAATTCCCATTATTCTGGGTCCCAGCCCTGTCTCAGGATTTATGATTATTTAATGACTGCCCTGGTTACCAGCTGTCCAGGCATTCAGAGCCCCCCTGCCCTGCTATGGGAATGCACCTTTGTGAGTGTCTTAAGTGAAATTACTTCTCTTTTTTTTTCTTACCATTTTCTTGTCTGATAGCGCCTTGTCTAGGGCTGTCATTAAAGTCTTATTTAGAACATAGTTTCTCAGCTGGTGCAGTCTTGCTCTCAGGAGGCACTTAACAATGTCCTGAGACATTTTTAATGGTCACACTTAGGGGTGGGTGGCAGGGATGCTGTGGGGCATCCTGCATTGAGTCCTCCACAGGACTAACTTCTTGGCCTCAGTTTCCCTGGTCCTGAGTGATGAGAACTGCTTAAAGAGCACTGCCCGTGCTCTTGATCTCTAGAAAAACAAGTCCCCACAGACAGAGGAGGAATGCAGGCTCACAGCACAGTGTGTTTCTGAACTTTTTGCATTTTGCACAACCGGAAAAGGCTGGGATAGCTGTATAGATGCAGCAGCAAAAACCCCAAACAAGTAGGAGAATGGTTCTGTAGATAAACCAATCCACTGCCCCTTGCTCTCCAGTGGGAAATGAACGCAGAGGAAAGAGAGGTGAAACAGTATTTCCCTATGAGATTCTGTGTCTCCCTTTCTGATCGGAGTCTTATCCTGAAGCTGGTTTTGATTTCCAGAATAGATGGCCATGTTGTCCAAGAGCACACCTGTGAGTCTGAGCTCAGGGGTGAAAGTTAGAGGCAAGAAAAGGAAAGAGGGTCAGCTAGTACAGGTGGCATGGCATGGCATGGCTACTGGAAGGGAAGAGACTGTGGAGGCCTGTGTCCTCCCAGTTTCCACACCAGGACCCCATGCCTCTATGGTATGCTGCCCATAGCAGAGGTCTGGAAGTATGATCCACTGCCTCTTTTGTATGATTCCTGGTCTGTTTTGAGATCAAAGTGATAGATTTGCAAGATGGTGGATGGAGCTTGTTGGTGGGGTGGGTGTGACAGTGCAGCCAATTTACGCCTGGATGTTGCATCCAGAGCACTTCTGTATGAGATATCACCCCAACTGAGGGACAAGCAGGCCCACCCAAATGCATTAGCTTTCAGGAGAAAGAGCCATTTGCAGAAGCAATGCTATTACCACTGTGATAAGGCGCTTGCTTATTGCATTAAGAAAGAACAAAGCTTAAGAGCCTGATCTTATTCCTGCTCCCTCCTGATTCTCTCATAGCATCACCTCTCGAAGCCGATCTCACAAGGAAAACATCATCAAAAAGATATTCAGATACTCGGAAGACCGCTTCACAGCATTGAGGAAAGCGTTACTGATAATGAGCACTGTAAGATTTTGCAACCCTTCCCTAAGAAACTCATTGTTAGTAAGGAAGCTAACACTTAGAATGAGACCAATAAAAACTCTGTTCACCCTCTTATTCAGCCAACAAACAGTTTTTGAGCTCCTGTTTTTTTGTTGGTGATTGTTTGAGGTCAAGGGATACGAGCCTTGACCTCGAAGATGGAGCATGGCCTGATGTGGAATTCATTGGAGTCCCATAGGATAAATGCAGACAAAAAAGAGGCCAGTGTGTGGCAGGGTCGTTAATGGTGACCCATCACCATTCCCTGCTTAGGTAGCAAATTATCGAGACTTGGGGCGCCTTCCCCATCTTAACGTACAGTTTATCAGTTTGTAACCAAATGTTCCCATAGAAGGAACATTCTCTTGGCTCTACAATACCCTGCTTAACTTTTTAATTGTGCTGCAAAGGAAAGCTAATTGGTATATTTGCAATTCACTTTCTCTTGCTTTAAACATGAGCTCCTGTCTCCCTTAATGTTTATTTCAGAAAGCAGCATTTGAATTCTCTTGGTGCAGAGTGACATTTCCCAAGTTTGTTATTTACTGAGCACATTTCGTGACTGGATCTCTGGTAAATAACGAGGAGTAGGGTGGGTTACTTGTCCTCAGACTCAAATAGGACCATGTACAAAAGATTTCATACACCAGAGGAGGAGTTTTTCTGCATAAGTATTAGCTTCCTGAGACCAGGAACTAGAGAAAAGGTTAGTTCGAGAAGAATTAATTTAGAAGGTAACACACATGTACAGGAAAGCAATGCGAGTCAACTCCCTGTATAGCTATCCTTATCTCAACTAGCAAAAACCCTTGGTCCTTCCTATTATTGCTTATACTCTCTCTTCAACAAAATTAGAGATAAGGGCAAAATAGTTTCTGCCTGGTAGCGAGGGGGTGGGGGAGAGGGAGGGGGTGAGGGGGTAAGAGAGGGGATGGAGAGAGAGGGAAGGGGCGGGGTAGGTAAGGGAGGGGCGGGGGAAGGGAGGAGAAATGACACATAAGAATAAAAGAAAAAAAAAAGTATTAGCTTCCTGAGTCAGCAGACCTAGGGGAAGTCTTTGAGCTCCAGGGCGTACTCTGGGGAGAGCTAGCATTGCTAAGAGGTGACCTAAAGGTCTGTAGTGTTCCGTCTGTGCTGTAGACTGTGGCTCCTGCCTCTGTCTGTCTACATCAAATTGCTTGGGGTTTCTGAGTGTAGTGTGGATTCAGAGATGTAATGTTCTGTGTTTCTGGGCAGCCATACCTATTTTAATTACAGTTGCTCCCTTTTATCCCTGTGGGATACAGTCCAAGACCCTTCTAGTAAATGCCTGAAATCTCGATAGTATCAATCCCTATAGTCACATGTTTCTTAACAACCTCACATGTTCTGGGAAATGCACCATTAGGGGATTACATTGTTTTGCAACTCTTCACAAACCTAGATGACATAGCCTGCTACACACCTTGGCTACATGGCTATACTATTGTACGTGTGGTCTGTCATTGACTGACATGGCATCATAGGTACATGGCTGTGTGTGCCATCTTTCCTATGCACACATCGCCATGATAAAGTTTCATTTATAAGTTAAGCACAGTAAAAGACTAACAACAATAATCATAAAGCAGAACCACTATAACAGTATACAGTAATAAAAGCTATGTGAATGCAGTTTCTTTCTGTGTCTCTGTCTTTGTGTTTCTCTGTCAACATGTTTGATTATCCTGTATACTGACCAAAGCTGGCTGAGAGCACCTGGAATGCAGGAAGTGAACCTGGGGATAAAGGGAGACCCCTGCCACCTTAGGTTTGTAGGACTTGGCCTCTCTGAGTGAACAGAAATATTGAGCACTTACTGTGGGCCAGCCCCTTCTTAAGCGACTCTGTGAGTACACCGATCCTCTCTCTACTCTGTAAGGTAGACATCCTTGTCATATCCACTTGACAGATGAGGAAAGGGAGCTGGGGGCCGGGTAAGCAGCTTGAGGTACCCACTGTGGAGCAGGGTTTCCAGCAGGTCTCCCGGCTCCAAGTGGGCGCTCAACTGCCACTGGCAGAGCTGCCAGGATGTGCCAGGTGAGCCATATGAGGATGATTAAGGAAATTGTGGTATGCTCACCCACCTTGGCTCCAGCAGTAGTTTAATTTTAAGTATGAAATCTTCATTTCCTTTAATGAAGGACAGTAATTATGTTAGCCCCTCCAAATATTGAACTATTTAAGAGTCATTTTGTCCTGTTCAACTGGGCATCAATAAGCATATTGTGTAGGTTAAGAATTGAGGACCTAGCCCACACCAGGCTCAGCACAGATGAGTTGCTGCCTACGATGAGCTCACCCTCTGGAATGTCACACAAAGGCACTAATGATCAGATGCCTTAAAGCTGCTTAGTGTATAGTTTCCCAGTGGCACTTCACATCCCACCACCATTTGCCTCTGTCCCAGCCACTAGATAAGAAGGGGAACACAGGGAAGAAGGCAGGTGTAGGTAGGGCTGGGCCTTCTGCCTGGCTGCAGAGTACAGCTATGGGAAACAAGTCCCACTCCTGCTATAGAAAGGCACGTGGAATATTTAGAACAAAGACTGATTTAGATTTGCTCTAAGGCATGTGTTCACTTGCTTTGTGTGTTGTCTCCAAACACTGCCACCATCGCTGAAAGTGGACCCAGCCATCATGATCACTTACATTTAAGTCACATGTGGCATAATTCCTACCACCCAGAAAGAGTTGCATGCTTCCTGTTCACCCATTCTTATTCTGGGCATAATTACTTGCAGCTGACATAATTTTTTTAAAACAGAAAATCCCAAAGAATCTTTCTCCAAATATTAGAATTAATATTAGAATTTTGAAGGTTATTATTGGTCAATATACAGAGCCAATAACATTTCTAAAAATGGCAATGAACAATTAGAAAAAGAAGAATATTTAAAATATCATTGCTAATAACATTTGAAGAATCAAATACCTAAAAATATATCTAACAAAAATGTGCAAATTTCTACATTAAAGTTTACAAAATTGCTTTTAGAAATCATATCACCCTTCACAAACTTTCAGGAAATAAAGAAAGAAGGAGCACTTCCCACCTCCTTCTCTGAGGCCAGTATTACCTTGATACCAAATTCAGATAAAGGTATCACACACACACATACACCCCCCCCCCCTTACAAAGAGCAACATCCTTCACAATATCTCAAACAAAATACCTGTGTAACAAGGATCAAATGCTACAAACATAGGGGATTTATCCCTGGATAAACTATCCCCAAATCAACTAATGTAATACATAATATTAATAGAATTAAGGAGGGATCTGCATGATCATCTTAGTGCATGAGAAAAAGTATTTGAAAAATCTAACACCCATTCTTGATTAAAAAAAAAAAACTTTCAACAAACCAGAACTAGAAGAGAAATTCCTTAACCCGATGAAGGTCATTCATGACAAACTCATAGCTAATGACATACTGATGGTGAAAACCAATGCTTTCCCAAGATTAGGACCAGCGCGAAACTGTTGGCTCATGTGACCTTCTATTCAGCGTTGTACTAGAGTTCTAGACAGGCCAATTAGGAAAGAAAATAAATACAAAGCACCCGGACCGGGAAGGGATGAAGTGAAACTGTCATTTATGACAGCACGATCTTGTGTATAGAAAACTAAGGAAGGCTTGCACAAACACAAAGCCAGAGCTGACAGAGTTCATGAAGATTGCTGGGTGCAAGATCAAAATATAAAACTTGTGTTTCTATGAACTAGCAATAAACAGTCTGAAAATGAACTTCATAAAGCAATTCCATTAATAACAGCATCAGATGATACAATGCTTAAAATTAAATTTAACAAAAAAGTGGCAGAGTGGTACACTGAAAATTACAAAACACATTAAAAAAATTAAAGAAGATCTAAATAAATGAAGAGAGAGTCCATAATCATGGATTGGAAGACTTAACAGTATTAAGATGGCAATTCTATCAAAATTATTCATCCAATGTGAATGTGATCAAAATCCCTCCTAGCTTTTTTTGCAATTGAAAAATTGATCTTAAAATTCATATGGAAATAGAAAGATCACAGAATATAGAAAATAATTTTGGAAAAGAGAGGAAAGTTAGAATACTTAATCTTGATTTTGAATCTTGGTATAAAGTACAGTAATACAGATTGTGTAGTTTCTGGCGTAAGGACAGACATGTTGATCTATGGAACAAAATTGAGACTCCATAAATAAACTCTTATATTATGGTCAATCCATTATTGACAAATCTAATGGGAAAATGATAACTTTTTAAAAAAATAGTGATGATTGATATTAATATGCAAAAAGATGAATTCATACACACACAAGTAGACCTTAGTATAAGAGCTAAAATGATAAAACCCTTAGGAAAAAATACACATATAAGTCTCTGTGATTCATGTTAGGCAAACATTTCTTAGATATGGCATCAATAGCATGAACATGCAAGAAAAAAATAACATATTGAACTTTATCAAATTAAAAACTTTGTGTTTTGAAAGGTACCCTAAGAAAGTAAAAAAAAGGGAAAAGACAATTCATAGACTGGCAGAAATATATGCAAATTCATATTTCCTGTAACAGACTTGAGCCTAAAATATGTAAGACCTCAGAACTCACTAAAAACATGACTCCTCCGCCCCTTTTTGTGGTGCCTGGAATCAAAAGGCTTTGTGAAGGCTAGGTAAATGCTCTGTCACAGGCCTACACCTCTTAACTCTTGGTTTCTTGAGACAGGGTCTCACTTTGAACTTCAGATCTTCCTGCCATTGCCTCCCAAGTGCCAGGGTTATAGGCCTACACCGGCATGCCTAACCATAACTCAGTATTTTCCAGTGGGCAAAATATTTTAATAGACACTGCACCGAGGAAGATAAAGAAATAGCCAATAAGTACATGAAAAGATGCTTGACATCACTAGTTATTAGAGAAATGCAAGTCAAAACCACAATGATAAACTACTTTGTCATACTGGCCACACCAAGAGCTTGGAGTGCAGGCTTTCGAGACACAATTTGTGGGTCTTTATTGGGACTATTTAAATTAGCTAATGTAGGTTCTTCCAGTATATGGTTTCTTTGTGCAGATACATGATAACTTTCAATCATTTTTTTTTCTGTTGCAGTGTTTTGACATTATCAACCCTTACCTATCAAAGGGTCTTGTGACATGGGTGCCTAGATCTTGTATTGAAGGAATTGTTGTACCAGGTATTCCTGACACCTGGGCATATGACTCATCTGGGACAAGGCCAGAGGAACTGTAGAGGAACTGTTCTTCTATTGTAATGTAACTAGTGGGGAGGGTGTGTTGGAAGGAATGCATGCATATGTCTTCTTAATATTTAATGCAGCATTTAATCTTGTAGTCCTAGCTCCTAATCTAACTTACTTTGAGTCCATGGTACCTAGACTAGCCTGCCTCAGCATATTTTACCCATTAGAAAGTCTATAATCAAAAAATACATACAAAAATAAGTGCACTCTCATGTACTGCTGGTGGGATTATAAAATAGTACAGCTCGTATGAAAAACATTGTAACAGTTGCTTTAATATTAAACATTATTTACTATACAACTCAGCAATTCCACACCTAGGTATCAGCCCAAGAGAAAGAAAAACATATATCCATACAAAGACTTGTGTGCAAATGTTCATAGCAGTATCATTCATAATTTCCAAACTACAAATTATCCAAATGTTCATCCACTTTTGACCAGATAAACAAAATGTGACATATCTATCCAATGTAGTACTACTCAGGAATGAAATCAACAGTGAATGAAAATAAAAGCACTGAACTATGCTATAATATAGAGGAGCCTCAGAAACACAAGACAAATCAAAAGAAGCCAGATTCAGGAGACCATGTATTTATTATACAATCTGTTTATAAGAAATATCCAGGAAAAAGCAACTACATAGAGACAGAAAGGAGTTTCTTTAGGCTGGGGATGGACTGGGAGGTGAAGACATGTATGTGTATGGGGTTTCTTTGAGGGGTGATGAAAATGTTTTAGTATGAATACTGACAGTTACACAATGCTGTATATTAATCAAAGATAAAAAATTAGTTGTCAGTTATTCCTGTTAGGATATTTAAAAGTTGATTATCATTCCAAAACCAGAAAAATAAACATGCATATATCTCCACGAGAGCCTTATTTCCTTTTCAGTATTTGGGCCCCCAAATAGTAGTTGACATTTGTATACTGTTTTGCCACTTAATAAACTCTTGTTGCATACTATTCATAATGTCTCTCTGTGAGGGAGGAAGGATTTCTTTATTTCCCGTCTTTCCAGTAAACAGGATTTCTCAATTTTCATATTTAATTTGCTTATTGACAATCTTTTATTCTGGGGGAAGAAATTTGCCTCAGAGTATTTTGCTCATAATATGTTTTCTTTATGCAGCCTGGCTGAAATTGTTCTCACTAAGTAATTGTCCATTTATGTAATTGATGAGGTTGGTGGTACTGAAAACAAGCCTAATTAATATTCTTAGTAAATAGGCAAGTTGTAATGGAACTGCTGGGAAATTCTGAGCCACCCAGGTGGGGCTGGGGAAGGAGGACTGTTCTTGCTGTGGAGGGACCTGGGCAGAAGGGTCAGCTGTACCCCAGAAATGGGCCTCATTCCTCACCTGGGCTGTGTCCTGCTGGGGAATGCTGCAGACACACCATGTGAGGCTAGCTTCCTGCTGCTCTTGGCTAATGTGTCACCTAATGATCATTGACTGGAGGCCTTTTCATTTCAAACCATAACTCTAGTTTGGCCAAAGTTCACTCTTTTACTCAATGATGCTAAATATATATAATGCTTTTCCTTCCTTTTTTGTCTTTTTTTTTTTAATTCCCTTATATATACGCTCATGCTCAGACACCTGCTGGACAGATAACTTGGGAAGAATTACGACATATTCTAAATTGCATGGTTGTAAATTTAAGTGACTCAGAATTCAAAGAACTAATAGAGGCATTTGACCCCGAGGGCCGTGGAGTGGTCAGAGTTAGTTCCTTCATGGATCTTCTTGAAGACAGCCCAAAGGTAAGGCTCCTAGCAAGTTCATCTTGGGTTTTTCTTTAAGGCAGGAAATTTATGTATTCTTAGTAAAATAAAAGATGCAGATTACTACATTACCAGTGAACAACTTATGTTCTCACCTGAGTTAATCTTCATTTTATATAAGATTTAAGGACTTGAGCTGTTTGATTTTAATTTTTAGTTTTTCAAATCGTATCAAAGGATGATATTTGACATTTCTAAAAATTCATCCTTAAGTGATCACCCGTGTATGTCCAGGGTGTAGCTTCTCACAGCACTGAGCAGCACTCCTCTCACAAACATCCTTTAAAAGCAGTATCTGGAAAAAAAGTCTCTGTCCCCTGTGTTCATTCACCTTTTTAGAAAAGAACTGCATATTGCCTTTAATGACTGACACCTGCTTTTTGTATTTGTTTCTTTTGACTGAAAAGTTGACAGAGAGTGCTGGGCCTGTGTCTCATACTTGTCATCCCAGTTACTTGGGAGACATATAAGGAACACAGTGTGAGTTCAGCCAGGGCAAAAGCATGAGACCCTCTCTGAAAAATAACTAAGGCAAAAAGGGGAGGAGGTGTGACTCAAGTGCTAGAACACCTGCCTAGAAAGTGTGAGGCCCTGAGTTCAAACCCCAGTACCATCAAAAAAGAAAAACAGAGAAGTTGACAGAGTTTTATTATTAGAAATGTATCTAAAATAACTATTACCATTTTAAATTTTTGAGAATTTTAGAAAAGATTAGTTTCAGATTACACATGAAATAAAAAACACAAAAGACTATATGACATGCTTGTTGAAGATGTCTTTCAACAGGTACAAATTTGCTTTCTTTCTCTCTCTCTCTTTTTTTTTTTTTTTTTTTTGGTGATGGAGCTCAAGTCCAGGGCCTTGTGTATACGAGACAAGCATTCTACTACCCCCATCTCACAAATTGGCTTTTAGTTTTAGATTTATGAAGTTGGCATAGCTATACATACAAATCAAACCAAGAGATGCACTGTTTCCCTCAAAGATGATGTTTTTGTTGAATGGATCTGACTGGGTGTCTTGCTTTGGGGGACAATATTAAGGTAGTTTAACTGAAGCCAGCTGCCTTCTCTTTCTGGCTTCTCTGGAGCACAGAGAAACCAAGGCAACAGAGAAAAGCAGTAAACAGTCCTAAGTCACTCCCTGGCTTCCCTTCCTTCCTTCCTGGGGGAAGGAAAGGGAAGAAGGAGTTGAAGATGCCATCATAAGGTGAGACAGATGGGCTTGGTGACAAACTGACAATTCTAGCCGCAAGACAAGTCCACATCTTCCGCAAGCCTTAAGCCCAGTGTAGGGATTTTTAAGTCAATGACTGGTGGTCCAGTGTAAAAGCTAGCCTCTGAAGAAAGACATTCTGTTGCTTCCCTTAGCTCAGAGGGCTATTCCAAGATGTCATTTTGAGTAAGGGCCTATCTTGAAAGACACTGTGGAGACCTGAAAATAAGGAACATTCATGGCTCAGGAAGTCTTGGGACACCCTGCCACAGAGTCCATGTGGGAGACAGCCATGAGAGCTGGTTGAGAAGAGGGAGAGGGTCTCACATAATCTTGCAGAGGAGTTCAAGCAGCAGGAAACTTCAGTGGTATCAAAGGGTGCTGTGATAGTCGGAGGCCCCTTCTTCTATGGCCAGGAATGAGTCCATTACCTGAGGCTCAGGTGGAAATAAAGCACCAAGCCCTAGTGGGTCAGAACCCTGCACCCAGACCCTCATTCGATACCCACAGCTTTCTCCCCTGCCCCACAGAGAAGTGAATTGTTGGGCAGGGCCTGATAGCAATGAGACCTGCCCCTGGAAACTTCATCTCAGTGTGTATTTGCTGAAAGTCGGGACTGAGGGCCTAGAGTCCAGACCCACTGAATCATGAAATTTCTGCAGCCTTTTCTTCCCACAGGGAAGTGAGCAGCTGACTGAAATCTGTAAGGAGTAAGACAAGGCATTGTGAATAGGCCCCTCCGTTCTCTCCCAGACAGTGCAAAACTCGGTGGTTGGTTTGCTCCCCACACTCTCTAACACATTCAGGGGTCACCCCAGGGCTTGGACACTTGCTGCCCCTAGGGATACAAATAGGAGGTCATGAAGAGCAGGTGGGAACCTGAACACCCCAAGGGCTATAAAGCTCCCTACATCCAACAGTGGCTCACAGTAGGTCAATGTGTGACTGCTGAGTCATACTCCCCAGTCCAGTGGTGAGAAATAGTCCCTCAATCCCAGCCACTGCACTGTCCTGCCTGAACATTAAAACTATTTCAACTGAAAGACTACAGGCATTAAAACTTCCAGCCAGGAACTTGGCCTCAGAAATATAAATCCCAGTGTAGAAACACAATTAAAATGAAAAAAAAAAATGCAACATGTCTCCTCAAAAGGTCAAGAATTCCACAACAAAGGACTTGAATAGTAGGAAGGAGATGAAATTTCAAACAATGAACTCATAAGGACAATGATAAGAATGATCAACAAAATTAAAGAGGACATGTATAAGCACCAGAATGAATTCAAAAAGGATGCAAATAAACAGTTGAATGAACTTAAAGAGAATTCAAATAAACAGCTGAATGAAATAAGGAAGGCAATGCAAGTATGAAGGAGGAATTCAATAAAGATATAGAAATCCTGAAAGAAAAAAAAAAAAACCCAAATTGGAATCCTGGAGTTGAAAAGCTCAATAATCAAATAATAAATAATCAAAATTATTAAAGCCTTAATAATGGAATGAAAAGTGTTGAAAATAGTGTCAGGGATCAGAGATAAAGTAGAGGAACTAAATTGGTCACAAAGACAAAGAAAAAAATACTAAGAATATATGAAAAGACAATGCAAGATCTCTGGGACACCATCAAAAACCCAAACCTATGAACCATAGGTATTAGAAGAAAGAGAAGAGGTACAGGCTAAAGGCATAGAAAACATATTCAATAAAATAATAGCAGAAAATTTCTCCAGTCTTAATAAAGAGAGGGTCATCCAGGTACAGGATATGTTCAGAACACCAAACAGGCAAAATCAGAAAAGAAACACCGTTAAACATATTATGGTTAAAATAATAAATATACGTAACAAAAAAAGAGAGTATTAAAACTTCAAGTTGCATAAAAAGGCAAACCCATCAGAATAACAGTAGATTTTTCAACAAGCCAAGGAAGGCATGGAATGATATATTTCAAGGCCTGAAAGAAAATAACTGTTGACCTAGAATAATGTATCCAGCAAAACTAGCCTTCATAATTAAAGGAGAAATAAAAACCTTCCACTATAAACAAAAACTAAAGGAATTCATGACCACTAAACCAGCACTGCTGAAGATACTGAAAGAATTCTACACATGGAAGAGGAATATAAACCCAACAGAAAAATACAGAAAAGAATAAATCCCACTAAATGAGTAGATTAGCAAACAAGGATTAGAAAAGAAGCAAAAATCACAAAACAACAAATGATAGGAAACATTACATACCTTTGATATTAACACAGAAAGTCAATGGTCTCAATTCTCTAATTAAAAGACATGGATTGGTAGGTTGGATTAAAAGCAAGATGTGACCCTTTGTTGCCTATAAGAAATGTATCTCATTGAGAAAGACAAACACTGGTGTAGGGTGAAAGAATGAGAAAAGATTTCCCAAGTAAATGGTCCCCAAAAGCAGGCATGAGTTAACTAAACTTGTATCTGATAAAATAGACTTAAAACCAATTATTCAGAAGAGCCAAAGATCTTTTCATATTAATAAAGGGAATAATCCATCAAGAGGAGATAACGGTTGTTAATATATACACACCAATTGTTGGCACACCAAATTTCATTAAAAAAACACTACTGGACTTATAAGCATAGATAGACCCCAACACAATAATAGTGGGAGACTTCAGTACCACACTTTCACTGGTAGACTGGTCATCGAGACAAAAAGTGAACAAAAAAACTTGAAATTTAATTGACACTATAGACCAAATGGATATAACAGATAGCTACAGAATATTTTATCCAGCACCTGCACAATACATATTCTTCTCAGCAGCCCATGAAACTTTCTCCAACATAGATCATATTTTAGAACTTAAATAAATTCTTGACAAATATAAGAAAATTGAAACAGCCCCCTGTATTTGATCATGCCACAACAGAATATGACTAGAAACCAACAACAAAAGAACCTAAAAGACATGCAAGCACAGGGAGACAGCAATGCATTGTTGAATGATCGGTGGGACATTGAAGAAATAAAGAAGGGGAAATTTAAAAATCCTAGAATCTAATGAAAATGAAAAAACTTATCAGAACATCTAGCATACAGCATAGAATGGGCTAAGAGGAAAGTTTGTAGCTGTAATGCCCACATCAAAACAAGAGAAAGACTTTGAATAAATAGCCTAAGAATGTACCTCAAGTTCCTAGAAAAACAGTCAGGACCAAAATGAGAATGATAAAGATTAGGGCAAAAATAAATTAAATGGAGACTAAAAAACACAAAGAGTCAATGAAACAAAAAGTTGATTCTTTGAAAAGATAAATAAGATTAGAACCCTTGGCCAAGCCAACCAAAAGAAGGAGGGAAAAGACCAAAATTACTAAAAGTAGAGATGAACAAGGGGATATCACAACAAATACGAGTGAAATTCAAAAGATAATGAGTGAACACTTTGAAAACTTATATTCTAATAAACTGGAAAATCTAGAAGAAAGAGCTAAATTTCTAGATGCACTTGACCTACCAAAACTGAGCCAAGGAGACATGAACCACTTAAACAGATCTATAACACAGCAATAAGATTGAAGCAGCAATATATAGTCTTCCAACAAAGAAGAACTGAGGACCAGATAGAGTCACTGCCAAATTCTACCAGATCTTTAAGGAACTAACACCAATGCTCTTCAAATATTCTATAAAATAGAAAGGTTATGAATGCTACCAAATTTGTTTTATGAAGCCAGTATTACCCTGATACCAAACTCTGTTAAGGACACAACAAAAATGCAAA